CCTGAGTGAATATGAAGTACCGATTTGCATCAAACGTGACATTCTTATTCTTTGAGACCAGGAAGAAAACAGGTTAAAACTCGGTGTAAAATGTCCTGAGCTCGATTCCTGTGTCTTGAAAACTAAACACGATAGAAAAACGGCTCTTAGACCAAAGTTTTTTTGACGTAAATACGTCTATATTTTAGGGTCAGTGTCATTCGGCAAAAATGTGTTACGAAAAAGGGAAACGAAAAAGTGTAACTTCATTGATATGTTACTTAGGAAACCTCATCTGTTTACTCAGAATTTTTGTTACCTAGGAAACCGTACATTACATTACCTTACATTACCTTACTTTACCTTACCTTACCTTACATTACATTACATTGCATTACATTCATCTACCACAGACTCATCTTAAGCGTAACTAATTCAAGTTAAATAAGCAATGTCTTAATCAAACTTATCTCAAAAGTAAAGCACGTATAAAGGAAATATTTAGAATAAAGCTAATATATAAACTTCCTTTCCGTATAGACATATTTACGTCAAATTATCCGGAACCGTGGTTCCACTATCACTTTTATTTCGAAGAAGAGATTATAGAAACAAAGGCCACAATCCCCAACAAATTCCTGGGTTTGATTCCCGGCGAAGAAGGTTTCTGTAGCTAATTAACTAAACACGACAAAAGAACAGCTTCAAGATCAAAGTTGTTTGTATCTTAAAAGTTGGGATCGTATAGTAAAATATGCGTTACTGAGGCGTGAAATTTTATTTGGAAAAATTATCGTTATTGTATATGTTTAATGAAATACAGGAAGCAATAATTCGTATCTCAGTGCAATCTATTGTTGGTACTGTTGATTAACTATTTACAGCGAATTAGGCCTAAATGAAAGGGATGGACAAAATGACACAGAACGCATGTGCGGTGGGATTTGAAGTTGTCGCGAAAGTGAAGATGTCGATTGTGGCCTTCTGGGTTGTGACGCTGGGGTGTTACACCTAGAAGACCACACGCGAGGTCACAGCAAAGGCAGTATCTTATCTTTCGTAATTAGAATCCCTATTACTCATACACGAACAGAACACTAGCTTTGTAATCCTGGGGTCTCGGGTTCGATTCCCGGCGGTGCCCGAATTTATAACTTGTGTTGGGCAAGGCCGTGATCTAGGCAACACGGAGTTTTCCTCCGGGGGCTTCCCCGGTTTCTCCGTGGCATCCCAACAATTACTCCATTCACACACAGAAGAAGGCAATGGCAAACCACTTCTGGATCATCTGCCAAGAACGTATATGAACAGGTCCCAGTCCGAGAAAAGGCTGGAAGGATCCTGTTCATATGGACCTGGACCTGTCGTCAGACAGAAAAAAAAATACTCGTACAGACTTATTCATTATTCCGAATTTTATTCAACGGTATATTTTCTTATTCTGTCATCGTTATAGGGCAAGAATTATATGCGATAAATTTTTGTGGGCATCTGTAGTTTCGTACCCCATTTTCGTGAGATGAAATTTGTGGTGTCCCGTCACGAATTTTTGCCAAATTAGGGTGTGCAGCGGAAGGTTGCGTAACACTGGTTTAAAGAACAACCTAAGTTCAACATTGACTACGTAGAGAAACTTAAGTGATCGTTAAATTTCTGCGGAGCCTAGTGGGTCTTTGGGTGCTGTGTTGATTCAGGGTTTGCAGAGAGATTGGGAGTTAGAAGGCTATAACGAAACTTCGTGACATAAAATATGGTTTCTTCTGCCCGTCTTCAAGAACACAAGCTTTATGGCCACCTTTTTAACTTGCTACGCCGACTGTAAATGCGTTGAAAGAAAGCGAGGCAGACATTTGATCAGTTAACGTGTTTA